GTGCTAGATGAAGAAGCAGAAGTTTTTATAGTCAAAATGTGGAGGTTATTAATATATGAAACAGAAGCCAAAAAGATTGGTCTGGTAAAATAAAGACTTCTTTTTATGGTTCCATTTCAATTTTTGTTTCACATCACTGAAGAACTGAAGTTTCTCTGTGCTCAGAGACATTTGTGAGACCTGTATTTTTTAAATGTAGAAAATGTGAATTTTTTTTCATCCTCTGTTTCATTGAGGCTATCTTTGTTCCATTTCTCTGCTTCCTTGATTGTAATTCTCCAAATCCTTCATTGGTGGTTCTCACGCGCCAGGTAAAGTAACAGGTATGATTTATAAACTACAGCTGCTGTATACAGTCTCTGACCTTCATCTTCTAGACTGCTTCTTGTAAATATTAAAGACACCCATGTTTTAGAAGACATCTCCACTTATTACATATGGAAATAATTGAGCTTTATGTAAATGCACCAGTCTCTTTCCCTCCATTTTTAAAATAGAATAAACTTTAAAATTCCAAAAATGGATGGGAGTCATTTTGCTGGAAGACAGTTTTCACCTGCACGGATGGATGTTAACTTGTTCACTTGTTGGGCTTTGTAATATTTTTAGATGGCCTGTCCTGTAGAAAAAAACAAATGGTGGACTTGCATAAACTCAGGACTTTCATTTTAACTATATCAGAACCTCTCATACTTAGTTTTGCTGTTGTCATCGTTGTTTTAATTAGGACAAATACCACACAGTTATATTTACTTTTAGCCCTTCTAATAGAAACCTGACATCTTATTTTTTTATTATTTAAAAAGAAACTGGAAATAGGCCAGTTTGGGATATTTGTGGAAAGCAATGGTATAAAGGTGTAATTTGAGCAGAACAATTTACAATATTAGATCATAACGTATTCAAAGATGAAAAAACGTTACGTAAGCCATCAAGTCAGCTGTGACTTTATTCTTTTTTGTACTGTAAAATGTCTGTCAGATTTGTAGAGGGCACCATTTCCTGCCGTCTTACAATATGGGTTTTATACATGCTGATGTGGTATAAATAATGTACTGTAAACTGCATTTTTAAAAATCTCACAAGTAAAAAAGACTATATGCCATAGGCTTCTTGATTGCAGGACAAACATTTTCCTGGAAGCAACAACTTGACTTTAAAAAAAAAAAAAAATCACTCTTCTGATATCTCTTTACCTGAAGAAATACAGATCACTTACTCAGAAGGTATAACTCTGATCCCATGTTACTGAATTCTTGCATCTGAAAATGTGTTCTTAATGGGATCCTATAAAGATTTCATCGTGTAAATATTTCAGATATTAAAAATGTATATATTTGATCTGGATTTTGATTACTCAGGTTTTAAGATAATATCAATACTTCTATTTCAGTTATGGGAGGAAGAGAATATAACTGGTTAGTTAATGTGCTCATATTGCAGTATAGAGTAATCTCAGATTTTGCCCATTTGTCAAGCCCCAACATTGTATTGGATCAAGCTAAGTTAGCTGCAAACTGATCCTACTGAGATGAATTTTAATCTTTTAAAAGATCTATATCTAATAAACTGTTGGACACAGTCATGGGAGCACTCCAAAACTAGTGCCATCTGGAAAGGATTTTTTTTCCTTTTTCCACTAGTTTATGCCCCTGTTATTTTGTGTTTTCTTATCTTAGTTAACTGGCCCTGACCCTAGTTAGTTGCTAAACTCAAACTCAGTCAGGTACCCGACATACTGGTATAAGAGAAGGTTTGTGAATTCTTTAGAATTAATTTTTAGAGCATAATTTTGCAGTACCATCACATGCAATCTGATCAAAATTCCATCTAAATCTGTAATAAACTTTGAATAAATAACAGGTCTTTACTGAGTCAACATTCATTATCTTTGTTAGCTAGGAAAACCTCATGAAGCCGTAGGATATGAGCTTTCTTAAGATAGTGTGTTGAATTAAATGTTGGAATCAATGAGATGGCAGTATAGTACAGGTTTGAGGGATCCTCCAGAGTTTGTTTTAAACTACGTATCTTGCCATCATCAGAGTCTGCTATTCACAACGTAACCTTATGCCCCAAACAGAGCTTTCTGGACCTCAGAAAAAGTTGGGGTCTGGAAAGAGTTATAAAACTTGCTAAATGTTTTGGCCTCCAGCAATCCACAATAAATCAGGGTTCCAATGGAGAAAATGGAATACCCTTGTTATTTTTCCCAGGATTGAAAGTTATAATAATTTTAACACAGGCCACGCTTGCATTACCTGACACCAATGTTCATGATCCCACCAGAAGGAAAATACTGCATAACAGGATAACTTCATGTTTCAGAGGAAAACATGATTTTTGAAAAACACATTTCCATCCATGTCAAGCTATCGGAACAATGTTTTGTGGACCAACAAAACAACAGTGGACATTATTTGGCATTGACGAGAAATATTTTTTGAAAACAAAAAATATTGCCAACAAAAGTACCTCGTCCTATCTATGAAGCATGATGGGGCGAAAAGTGGTACACTGCTTTGCAGCTTCAAGACCCAGACAACTTGCAATCATTGAGAGAAAAAGGAATGTTGTCCTGTGCAACTGCTACAGGAAGTCAGAGTACCAGTTCACGAGTGGAACCCAAAAACGTATGACATGGAACATGATAACAAAACTTAATTCAGTTGAAATATGGTACAATCTGAACTAAGCAGTTTATATAAGACAACACAAAAATATCATTGAATTCAAGCAGTTATATAAAGAGAACTAGTTCAAAATAACTCTAACCTGATGTGCAAGATTGATCTACAGATGTAAGAAACGTTTGAAGTCACTGCTGCTAAATTGTGCCATTACTACATCTAAAACTTAAAAAAAAAAATTCCAACAAGTATTGGATGTTGACTCATTATTTCAATAAAGACACAATAACTTTTTTTAATAATAGGTAAAAATGAAGCTCAGACATTGTAAGTTAAAATGCTACAGGATTACAGTTGATTCTAAATGGTTCACCAACATCACTCCTGATAAGATTCAACTTATCATTAAAATTAAATATATAATGCTATAAACAAACTTATGAGGAGACATTTTCTTATAGTGGTTGGTTATTACTAGTCATAACTGATATTTGCATTGATTAATGAAATCTAAAGTCTGACTAGGATCACAACGTATGGCAGTCTCCCCCCCCCCCTTTTTCATAAAATTGTGTTTAACTCTTCATAACCCCACAGATGTTAATTAGGAAATAAGCTCATGCTTCTTCCCCCCTCCCATATATACACAAAGGTACACTTATTTTAAAAGGTAAAGTTACTGAACAATACCAGTGCCTGCTTGCCAGTGAACATAGATGGTGAAGCTGAAGGAGTAATAAGCTATCTTCCTAGGCTCAAAAATTCACAGGGATGGTAATTGTAACCCATGACAATTGCTATTTGAGAGAGTGACAAATCTAGACAACATATTGTACAGATTAACAGCACAAGGAATACAATTAAGGCTGTAGTTTTGAGACTATTGAAGATTAAAATCATATTCCTGAACAATAATGGTGCCAATATATTACTTTCAAAACAGATTATCTGAAGTGTTTTTGTGGTGACTTTCAAACTGCAACAGATGAAGTGAATTATGCATAAAATTACAGTTACCGTGGGATTTTGTAAATAGGGATTTATTCTAATAGCTACCGGTAGATTCCCACTTTCCATTAAGACATGGCATGCTTGTATTTAATGCAATATGTGAAAATAACCATTCTGATGTATAAATAATAATTACAAGCTGAGCAAAAATTTGTTTATTTAAACCAAACTATGATGGTTTAGGGCAGGGGTAGGCAACCTTGGCTCTTTTATGACTCGTGGAGTTCAACTCCCAGAATTCCTGAGCCAGCCATGCTGAGGAGAAAGGGAGAGGTTTCCATGCTGGCTCAGGAATTCTGGGAATTGAAGTCCACGAGTCATAAAAGAGCCAAGGTTGCCTACCCCTGGTTTAGGGCAATGTGCAAACCCAGCCACTGAGATCTTGGCAAAGTAATGTCCAAAATTAGGTTTAAGGGATTAGTTCCTATTTCCTTCATTTCCTCTAAATGAAAATATCTGTGTAATGTTTTAACTATAACAAGACTTGTCTGAGATGTTATGGGTTTAGGACTGAGTTTATTCCAAAACAAAAAATCATCAGCCATCAAACCTATTGGTTTAATTCCTGAGAGGGAGGAGCTGCCGTTACTCAGCCTGAATCCTCTGCATGGTTTTATATTACAACCCTACTTTAAAACAACCATACAAACTAGCAAATGAAGGCTCAGATCTAAACCCATCTCTCAGTTAAGTAAGTAGATCTTAAGTTGATAGAGTATAATTCACTCGATGCTCTCAGAAGTTTGCCCTACAATTGAAAAGGATCCTTAATGATGGATTCTGTAGTCCAAAACTGAAGAGCATGAAGAGTGCTCGTTTCTTCTCAATTGACGGCACTCTTGGTGGCTACCCCTTTTTCAGCTAAGCAATCCTAAAATAGCTTGAACCTCAATAAGAGCGTGAAGCAACCAATGATCATCCTCGAGAAATGTCTATAAATAAAACAGCCTTTAAAAAACCGAATGATTAGATTTCTGCACCAAATTACTCTATGCAAACTTCAATTACAAAAGCATACAGCACACAAATCACGTTAAAGTTTATCCTGGTGTGCACATCCATCCAATACTGAGAAAACAAAGAAAAAGCGATTTCTTGGCAAAAAATCCACATGTTCTCAACCAAATTAGGTTCAACGACCTGGACTCCGTCAAGTAAAAATTAACCTCCAGCTGCCTCCTTCCGGCTTCCTCCACACGCCTGGGGTTGACGCGCTTGTACAGAAGCAGCAGCTGCAACTCCTTCGACGCATGCGCGCTAACTCCCTTGCTTCCTCGGCTGCAGCTGCTGTTCACAGTCAAGAGGCGAGGCGCTCCCTTTGATGGACAAGCTCGATTTGCCAAAGAAAACAAGGAGTGAGAGACGCCCCGCCTACGGGAGTCAGAGGAGGCGGGGCGAGGACTGGGCCGGAAGCGGCGGGCGAAAACGGGAAGGGGCTTTTGCCGTGGTTCGGGCCGAAGGAAAGACAATTTGGGCGCCGAGGCGGAAAGGTAAACGGGGGCTTTCGGGGAGGGCGAAAATCTTGAAGAGGGCGAGGGGCCTGTGCGGGATGAAGGTCTTGTCCCTCGGGACTCTTTCCCTTACCTCTCCCTACCCGCCCCCTTACTACACGAAGCAGAATAGCTTCGATCTATCAAAACTTCCTTCCAAGCAGCCGTGGCCTCCCTTTGCACACCTTTGTAAATCTGGAGTAGCGATTCCGTTTCCCCACTCTGGACAGGAATCGGAGTGCCTGCGAAAGAGCCGGGCTGGGTTTAAAATTCGAGTTGCCTGAGCTTGACTCCAGATCGGGCTGCGCGGGAAGGCGCGAGGCTTTGGACTGAAAGTGCCTCCCTGATATTAACCGAAATCTTCCTGCGTTAAAAGCGGAAGCCCATTGGCTGGAGCCGATCTCGTGGGGGCCATGTAGCCGGTGGATGTGCTTTGTTTTGTGAGAAGCCTGGCTCCCACGTCGTGGAAGTCAAAAGGATACAGTTGTTCCTTTGGCTCCAGGCCAAGATCCGAGGCCCATTCATAAGGATCTTGGCTCTGTTTCTCTTACTTAGATCGGAGTAAGTTCTCATCCTTTATTTAAAGCAGAGGTTCCTGAACTTTTTTGCCTTCACATCTCCTGTTGGGGTAATCTTAATGCATACACCTCCCCTAAAGATGAACACAAGAAGAGAGTAGGTGTACAATATTGAACAACGAAAACAATACCGTGAAATTTGGAAAAGAAAGATTTATTGTAACAATGGAAACAAAGGTTCTAAACACGACTCCGAAACAGGTACACCTCACGCTTTGGCAAACCCTCTTTTAGAGGGCACAATCCTGTATTTTTGGCTTTGGCTTGGAGCCTTGAAGAAGCCATTCAAACAGGAAAACAGCTGTATATTTTATGGCATCTTTAAAAAGAGATGCTCTTTTGTGGACCAGAATCCAATTTAAAAGTGAGAATTTGGTGTTGGTAAATATGCTTATTTAATCAAAGAAAAACAACAAATACGGAGAAGAAAATGCAAGACAAAATACAAAATGTATAAAATAACCATGGTGACATTCAAAAATTGTTATTGCTAAATAACTTATCACTACTAAATTATTAGGTTGTAAACTTGACTTAACCATTGTGCTAACTATGGTTTGATTTATCTGAACTATTGAACATACAATTGTGTAGACTTATATATCAGGCTAAGCAATATGAAGCATTATTTACAAAATATAGTGCTTGGATTAACACAATATGCTAAGTTAAGACCAAACAAAAACCACAATATGGCTTGGAAAAATATTTGAATGAATCATAGCATGAGCAAATCACAGATAAATTGCTATTGCATTTTAATTTACGTTTGTGTGCTTATATTGCATGGTTGATTTTTGCAGCAGTAAATAACTTGCATGTAAGTTTTCATATAGTACGATACCAATGCTTCTTGCATTATATTCTCCTCTGTCTTTGCTATACAGTAACATTTTTTTCTTCTCCCCAGGACTGCAAATATGCCAATTTAGAATTACATTCCATACACCTAATGAAGTGGGGCTTTGGCTTACAAAAAGTTAGGCATATCTGGTACAGAAGATCAAAACTTAAACAGTTGTTTGGAAAACTAAACTATGGTTCATTATTGATGAAGTAATACCAACTTTGTACTCCTATACATTGTTTGGGATGAAACTAAAGGTGAAATTCCCCTGTAAAATACTTCTGTATTTGCACTTAGAATTTTTTTTTGGGGGGGGGGGAGGAAAATGAAGAGGAATGAATGGGTGAGATGGTGCTTTTGAATCAGTTTAAAATATCCCTGCCTCAAATCCCTTATTTGGCTTTAAAACAAATATTTTATAAAGAATAAAAGTCAACTTGTATGGGATTAGGCTGTAGGTCAAAAAGTGAGGAAACTATTTTTTTTTTTTTTATTGAAATTTTTCAAAAGTTTTACAAATAAAAATCCACCCCCCCCTCCCCAACCACCCCACCCCCCCCCGACTTCCCAGAACTGAATATAGGATTATTTAACAAATATTTTAAAAATAACATTTGCAATTTATAAAATAATTAATAATAATAATAAAAATCACAGTAATAATATATATAATAATAATATACATAACATAAACTTTAAAATGAATAATATATACTAAAAAAGAAAAAAAAAAATAAAAAGAGAAGAGAGAGAGAGAAAGAAGAAAGAAGAAAGTAGACGAAGAATAAAGCATATATATATATATAAAAAAAAAATATATGAATAATAATACATAAAAAATGTATATATATAAAAAAAGAAAAAGAAGAAAGAAAGAAAGAAAAAACAATCATTACAAATTATAAAAAGGCTAAATAATATTTTTCCATATCCAAATTATGTTGTATAAAATTTATCCATTTTTCCCATACCGCAAAAAATTTTTCTTGAGATTGCTCCTTTAAGAAAGCCGAAATCTTTGCCATTTCTGCCAAATACGAAACTTTATGAAACCATTCTTGTAAAGTAGGCAAAGATTCCTTCTTCCAATATTGTCCTATTAACAACCTAGCGGCTGTAATCAAATTTAACATCAATATAACCTCCTTAGCATCACAGTCAATAACAATACCTAGTAAAAATAATTGCGGAGTAAATTTTACCCTCCTTTTAAAAATTCTTTGAATATTCCACCATATCTTAATCCAAAAAGCTTTTATATGCTTACACGTCCACCAAATATGGTAATAGGTAGCATCCAAATATCCACATCTCCAGCATTTCGGCTGTAGATTAGGGTACATAATGGACATTTTCTTTGGGTCAAGGTGCCATCTATAAAACATCTTATAAAAATTCTCTCTTAAATTTTGCGCTTGTGTGAATTTAACATTTCTTATCCAAATAAGTTCCCAAGTATCCATTGAAATCGTTTCACCAATATTCTGTGCCCATTTAATCATACAATCTTTAACTAGTTCAAGTTCTGAATCTAATTCCACTAAAACCCCATAAACTCTCTTAATATGGGTTGGCCTTTGATCTCTTACTTGTTTTAAAAAAATTTCATCTTCTCTAAGCCAGCCCATTTTACAATCCATCTTCCATCTATCCACTATTTGTCTATATTGGAACCATGAATAAGTTAAGTTTTCATGTGTTAACTCTTCCAAAGATTTTAACTGCCAGTCTTGGCCATCCCATCTTAATAACTGTACGTAAGAGACCTTGTCCATATTTACCCCTTTCCTTATACCTTCTATGGCATGCCGAGGTATAGCCCATAATGGTATTTTGAAGTCACTTTTATAATACTTTCTCCACACTCTTAGCAAAGAGTTTCTTATAATATGAGACTTAAAAACCCAATCCACTTTTTTATTAAATATTAAATAGGCATGCCATCCAAAAAATAGGTCCCAGCCTTCCAAATGAAGTATTTCTGTATTTGTTAAATTCACCCAGTCGCTAATCAATGTCAATACTACAGCATCATAATACAATTTCATATTTGGTACCTTGAGTCCACCTCTCTCACGAAAATCTTGCATTATTTTAAGTTTCACCCTTGGTTTTTTCCCTGCCCAAACAAATTTATTAATACCTTTTTGCCATTCATCTAAATTACGTTCGTTCTTTAAGATAGGTAACATTTGAAACAAAAAAATAAACTTTGGCAGGACATTCATTTTAATAACTGCAATTCTGCCCATAAGGGATAACTGTAAATTATTCCAGTTTTTTAAATCCTTCTGTACCTCCATCCACAGCTTTTCATAATTATTTTTATACAATTTTACATTAGAAGCAGATAATGTAACCCCCAAATATTTTACCTTATCAACAATTTCAAAGTCTGTTAAGTTAACTAGAGCCTGTTTATCACCATTAGTCATGTTTTTAGCTAATATTTTGGTCTTATTATTATTAATTTTAAAGCCAGAAACACGTCCATATTGTTGAATCAATTGTAATAATTTCACCACCGAAGAAACAGGTTGAGACAAAGTAACAACCAAGTCATCTGCAAAGGCTCTTAATTTATATTCTTTTTTATTAATTTCTATTCCTTTTATTTCTTGAGACTCCCGAATTTTAATCAACAAAATTTCCAGTGTTAAAACAAACAATAACGGAGACAACGGGCATCCCTGTCTTGTTCCTTTTTCTATTACAAAAGCCTCTGACAAACCCCCATTTACAATAATTTGAGCAGTCTGTTTTTGATATATATTGGATAATACTTGTAATATATTTTGTCCAAAATTCATCTCCTTGATTAAACACAGCATAAACTGCCAATTCACTTGATCAAAGGCTTTTTCAGCATCCAAAAATATCAGGCCTGCAGAGACTTGGTTATTCTTTTCTAAATACTCTAATAAATTAATAATTTGTCTAACGTTATTCTTCATATACCTTCCAGTTATAAAACCCGATTGATCCCTATGTATAAACTGCTGCAAGATCCCCATAAGCCTGTTAGCTAAAATTTTTGCAAAAATTTTATAATCCACATTTAAAAGAGATATAGGCCTATAATTTTTAGGCAAAGTAAGATCTTGACTATCTTTTGGAATCAATGATATAAATGCATTACGCCAGGATGGAGGGATCTCTAACCCCTGTAATAAATTATTAAACAGTTCACACAACGGTTGAGTCATCTCTTCTACTAAAGCTTTATAATAAATAGATGTCAACCCATCCGTACCCGGCGCTTTGCCCAATTTCAATTGTTTAATAGCTGTAACAATTTCTTCCTTAGTAATTAAACCATTAATCTTTTTTTCCTGATCTTCTGTTAATTTAGGAAAGTTAACTTTGCCTAAATAATTATTTATATCTGTAATTTGAATATTAGTACCCTTATATAATTTTTGATAGTATTCTAAAAAAGATTTCTTAATCAATTCTTTCTGATAAACCAATTTACCATTATAATTTATTTTATCTATATTCCTCTGTTTCTGTTTTTTTCTTAACTGATAAGCCAACCATCTCCCTGGTTTATTAGCATTACAAAATGTATTTTG